TTATTGACGTAGTTTAGATATTTCAACGTAAATCGGAAGTGACTAAATATAACAATCTTTCTAAAATAAAAATAAGCCAAATAAGGAAAATTCTAAGTATTACAAAAATATATCAAGACCAATTCCTTCTCTCAGGACATGATCCTTGGAGGTATTCATGGGCTACAAAGAGACTGCTGTCCTGGCTGGGATTGTAACTCACCAAACGAGATGCTGTGAAGAGTTTGAGTGGATGGATTGATGGCCAAGTTGCCTCAAGGGAGAAGGAGATCTAAACAGGCAGCAGAAGCAGCGAGTAGAGGGGAGCAGAGCCGGAGTCTTGGGTGAAGGAAAAGTACGACAGCTGACTTAGCTGTCTTGTATGCCAACAATAGAGATGGCAGGTGCAGAGTCAGAACAGATTGTGTTGTTTTCCTCAATTCAAATCATTCATTCACCATACTCTGCCGTACGCATTTGCTCTGCACTCTAGATTCTGCATGAAGGTCACATCAGACTGAGAGTGTGCTCAATAAAACTGTGGGCCTTTTCATATATTACAGAATTGAGGCTGTATCAAGGATATTTAGTCATCCTGTAGAAATGTCTTCTGACCTCCCTCCACGGGGAGGCCAGAGGTCGGGATCAGTTACACAACAGGAGGTCTGTGTCGTGCTCAAGAGCTCAACAACACTTAAAAAAGGAGGAAACTCAACACCACAGAGTCACAAAGGTAACCTTACTGATATTTGAAGAAAGACATGGAGGTATTCTATTTTATTTTCATTTAGTTAATTAAATGTCAAACTGACAATTAATTATTGCAGATAATTAATTGTTGCACCGACAAACAATTGGCTGAAGCTCTTGGTAAGTTTAATGCTAATGTTGGCTGTGTAGCAATAGCAAAACTTACATATAGCTCCTTTACAGTTTTAGAGGACCTGCTTTAAGTCTTAATTAGCAGCAGCACGTTCATATGAACTCAGCTACATCTGTGATTATTTATACGATCAGGGTTATTAAATACCCTGCTAAATTGAAAACATATGGCAATGCAAAACCTTGCAGCTCTCACAGTAATTCATAGTAGGTTTAGTAAGTTGCTGCGGCAACAGAGCGAATCAGTCAACTTACAAACACAGCTGTAACATCCAATCTGTGCAGGAGGACGCTGACAGTTGAAAATAAACTTGGAAGATCTCATGCAATAACATTTCTGTCCGCACACAAACGCAGGCAGACACAAAATATTGAGTTTACATTTCACATGACCACATCCAGCTCCTGTATCAATAATTCCTGCATTGCCCCTCCAAATCAGCATGTCAGATTGCTGAAGCAGGAACACAAACAAGGCAGGAACCTTCGCAGTGTATCCACAGAGCAGACATTGATATGCTTGAATGCATGCGGCAACACGTGCTCGACTCACACCACCTCTAAACACACAAATGCGCATTTCTAACCGCCATACAGACTTCTCTGTGTATCTCTCTCTGTCAAAGGAAAACTCCATCCATCACGTGGGATGCAAGGGGTCAAAGATTACTCACATTTCTCCCAGTCATGGCCAAATTGTACTGGATGGCTCTCACATTTGGAAGATAGCTGGGGCTTTCTCTTTGCATGCAAATGACAGAGACTCTGTCTCAATTTGCTCTCTCCTTGACTCAAGGAATGAGATGAGAGTGTCACAGATAGGGCGCTGAAAGAACAAAATGCAAACGATGCCAGCACACTACAGGGAAGAGAGAAAGATGTACAGATACCGGGGGGAAAAAAAATATATACACAAATTCACAAGAGGAGATTAACAAGATCCAGTGACAGACAGCAGTGACATAGTAATAACCTGAGAGATTTAATACTTTACCATTATCTCTGTCCTTTATTGATACTAATTCAAGTAAACAGTTTACAAGAGTAGCTGCTGATACTTCCGACTCATTTTATCGTCTTTAAAAACTCAACTTCTGTTAGTGAGCCACATCCTTGGATTCCCTCTGAAGAGGATAATTTTTATCCATCTGAAACTCTACATACGAGGCTAAAGCTGGGACAATACAGACTAATGTATGACTGAGTTGTGCCACAGGACTTTGTCTTAATATTTAGCCCATTCTCTGGCATTTAGCAGCTGTCACGAATGAACAGATCAGATGATAAAATGAACAAATTCATGTGTGTGATGAAGTCCTTTGAACAAGGAGAATTAATGGAGAATTTAGGTGCATTACATCTTGGGTATATTTTATAGTTCCATCAAAGTGTCCATAAATTATATCAGTTATGATAACATAGTTGATTATTGAAACCAGCTCATAGTTGGAGGTAGAAGTACAACCCAGGAGGTTGGCAATAATAAACTGTGTGGCAAGTTTATGGTAAGTCCAGCAGATCAAACTTCAAACAGGTAATCAGTTTTCTATTTCAAAATAAATTACATATGGGATTTAGTTTATTTCTTCTCCAGAAATGTAATCATGTTCGCAGATCAGTGTTATTTCTATCAACAGGAAATATCATTCTATCTCTATCTATAAAAATAAGATCCATGTTGGAAAAAAACAAAAAAACAAAATGATCCTTTAACCACGGCTCAGTAAGAGCACTGGAATATAGAAGCAAAGAAACAGACTCCTGACACACACTGCTTTCCTGGCAGCTTCATGGATCTCTGGTAATAGTCACATTTATGATTGCATTTCGTTATCCACTTGAAGCAAAAATGCTGTTGAAGTCAATAAAGATGCATTGAAAAGCAAACACTTTAGGTAATGACATGCAAATGAAAATCTGTCACCATTGTAAAGGCTGTGTAAGTGCTCCGAAAAACAACACAGTAACGTCCTTTAAAAAAGAAACAAAACAAATCAAAGTGAGGCAGCCTATTTTGGAACAGCTTCCAGCAGCCCACTCTCTCTTCAGCTAATGAAATATCTAATGCACTTAGTTTCCTTTAGTTAGCACCTGCCTCCTCAGAGGCATGTTCCTCCTCTCCAAGCTAAATTACTTGGTCTCAATGGAGCGAGACAGAGCGTGGTGAGTAACAAAGACGAGAAGTCGAATGTATTTTCAGGAAAAGGATGACGAGCTCGTGCTTGAGAGCTGCGGTGACAGATGATACTCATTTTTTTTTTCCTAACCTGACTACGGCAGATCTCACAGAGACCTGAGCGGGCGGGTCGCAGTGTGCCGCACTCGGCCTGTGAAGCTCCCTCACTTTCACCGCGCTATGTCTGATAGTAACATCTCAAAAGTGCATCATAACCAAGCCTCTTCCAACCAAAACACTCTGTAAAGCCATTTTCCTTTTCACTATCCCTGCTCTTTGCAGAATGAATTATACAGCTGCAAAACAGACACCTAGAGGATGGAGGCGCCGGGGCGGAGGGCGCGCAGTTAAAATGAAGAATTGTGAGGTGCATTCCTGTGTCAGTAAAAATGCCAGATCTCTATCTGATTTGCATGCTTGTTCCCGTTCCCTCTCATAAAGGCATTTCTAGGAAAGTCAAACCAGCAGTCAAATAAATAATAGAGCAGTGGTCACATGACAAAAAGTTAAAGGTGGTGCAAGATCACAAATCTGTTTAAAGTATAAGATCGTGAACATCTACCCTGTGAACTGACGCGACCGCTAAAATAGATGTAAAGAAATACAGATCGTGCACAAGCCACTAATCTCTAAATAAGTCAGACTGCTTTTAATAAGGAGATGCTGGCAGCATTTTGTGACCTTCATCTAATTAAATTTTAATGATCATGCAGTTGCGCGACAAGATATGAAAGGACTCAACACTCGTAAAAATCCACAACATAATCTTGTAAAAGTAATTATTAGAACAGTGAAAAAAACGCAGCAAATATTGAGGTTTTGTTTTTGCTTTTTGCTTACACTGTTTCTTACTTACACGGTTTACTGTTATATATTTAATGTGTGTGAAACATGGGAGACATGTAAATAACAGTGCTTTTTTGGTGGGATGTGAGGATTTGTGGGAAACCAGGAAATTCAAAGAAAGCAAAACAATTACACAACCAGAGTGTTTAGAATGGAATAATTGCCACCAGGAAATCCATAAGAAAGTGAGTTAGCTCTTGTGATCAACGCATGCACTGGTTGTCATTAGATTGATGAACTCTATTGATGTCATCCATCTCTGACTTAATCAATTCAGAAAATAGAAGAAGAGTCTGCTGAGAGAAATCGACTTGTGTGAGCGCACAAATGACTGTTTTGTGTTCGGTGGGGCGGCGAATAAGATCTTAGCTGTGTCATATCACTGTGGGATGAGGTGTGTTGCTCCAATTTTGTTAAAGGTCCCATATTTTACACCTTTACAGTGTTTTATTTATGTAAGTATTGATCTATAAGAAGATATATTTGTGGTTTTATGAACCAAAAACCATCTCAGCGTAGTTTTACATCTCCTCTGTCAGGCTTCTCTCTGGAGCTCTAGTAACAACAGGTCGGTGAACCAATCAGAAGAGAGGCTCCGGCCGACTGTTTTCTGAGTGGCCATATACAAATATAGCAGATTTCAGGAAAACACTCAGAGAAACCAAATCCTGTCAGGTTGGATGGTGGATCCAGGCGGCTGGAGCTTGGGGCATCACTAGGAGTGGCGACTGCTTTGTTGTGACATCACAAAGTTACAGAAGTCCTGACAGCTTATTTTCGGGCTCAATTTGTGAGCACTTTGATTCTTTCACAGTATTGATATAGAACCTAGACCTGCTTCATAATCAAAACAGACATCGAAATTTCAACTCATACAATATAGGACCTTTAACATTTTGGGGCGGCTGAGGCTCAGGAGGTAAAGCTGGTTGTCCAGTCCACATGACAAAGTGACATTGGGCAAAAGACTGAATCCCAAATTGCCACATATGTGCCATCGGTGTGTGTGTGTGTGTGTGTGTGTGTGTGTGTGTGTATGTGTGAATGGTTGAATATGACTGCACTAAACACTATCCATTTATCATTTACCATAAAGAAAAGTATCCAGGCCACTTACCGAGTACGCCGAGCCGGTAGTTCATGGTCACCACAATCACGTTGCCGTACGCAGCAAGAACGCTAGCATCAAACATGTTCCCGGTGCCTTCCATGTAGGAGCCTCCATGAATAAACAGCATGACAGGCTTCTTCCTGCGGTCACGAATATCTACACACACACACACACAAACACACACACACATACACATACACACACACACACAAACACACACACACACACACACACACATACATACATACCCACAAAGATTAGAAAGCAGGGAATAGAGAGCAGAAAGGAAAAAAAAAGTCAATAACTGTGTTTATGCCTCTCATATTCTCTTTGATCACACATTGTGTTAGCCCATAATATACTGAGCAAACAGCAAATTGCTCGGGTGGATGAAAACACTACGTTTTCAGAGCTTGAGAACTGCGCTGTTCCTTGCAGCTGGATGCCAGCTCTTAAAAATGAGCTTGAAGTAATTTAGATTTCAGGCAATGATTCAAGCAACAGGCAATAGCGAGAGACACCCCTGCAAAAATCTAATCAAATGTTTCCTGGTGATTAGAGCAACAATGCTTGAAGAAAATGACTGAGTAGTGTTGCATATTAGAGCTAACCTGTACATCACTGCCTCTGAGAGTCGTTATTTCACTCTGGTGCTCGGATTGACCGAAAAAGATTCAAGAAGCTGCATGTGCTATTGTTCCCACCTGCACGAGGTTATTTACTAAGTGAAAGCATGAAAACAAAGGCAGGCGCAGTTTAATTTGTTAAAACTCAGAATGTACAAATGTGAGGCAGAAACCACGCAAACCACAGCTCTTTTACGGTGCCGGTGCCAAAGTTCACCCCAAAGTGCTCTCTGTTGCAAAGAAGAGGTGTTTTAACAGCATGTTAAAAAGGCACTCTGAAACACACTGAAAGCAACTGGGCACCACAAGCATAATTTACTGTTTAAAAAATAAAAAAGCACCATTATGACATGAGGAGACGTATCGAAAAACAAAGCCTGTGCGAGTAATGCTGATGTCTGAGGAACATTCTGTGCACAATCAACAGATAATGAAAAGCCACTGACCACTTAATACATCACTTCTGCAATGAATTCCCATAACTTCTCCTCGTTTTGTTTTGCACCTTGGAACTTGGGATTCCCAGGAATGCAAATTGCAGCTCGCCCTGAGCTGCGGGGACAGCTACATCAACCTCTTTCTAGGTCAATTCCCCCGTGGGGAATCTCTAGAAAGCACAGTTTTCTTGGATGCTATCTTTTTTTTTTTTTACACTGGCACAGATTGTTAGCAGATCCTGCCTTGAGGTAAAAAAAAAAAAAAGGAAAGATAATAGAAAAGTTTCTCAAAAAGTGTCATTGCTTCCATCAGAAAACACAACACAAAGTTTAGGTTTAGATTGTCAATCTCCCCTAACAAGTACTTTAACTCAAAAAGTAGGTCTCGAAAAGAGTTCTATTTTTTTTTTAAATGAGCATTAATATGTACAATGGAGTGACTTCTTTTAAGCTTGACTTCAGACTCATCTGTTATTAGAAGTCCTTTCTTGATATTTTGCATTTTAGATGTATCTTATTGATTGACTTATGCTTGAACATGCTTAAAAAGAGTCTATTAGATTCAGAATCATTTTTCCACTTCAACAAATAAACTGAACATCCCCTGAAATACTTTATTAATATGGATATTTTTGTGGGAGCTGAGGGTGTTTAGTTAAACAACGTTCATTGAAACTACGAGGATAAATTCTGGCATCGTTCCTTATTAAATACACGCAGATCATCCAAAATGCATCCAGTCAGTGTCAGTGATGAGATTTTTCAACAGACGCTTGTTCCTGCAGCGCTCTGTGTGTGTCTGTGTGTGTGCCTGTGTGTGTGTATGTGTGTGTGTGTGTGTGTGGATGTGTGGGCGTGTGCAGGATGGTCCCTGATGGGCCCTCGTTGGCCTTTGAACCAGTCTCTCAGCTGAGTGAGAGCAATGATACTCCTGCCTGCCAGGAGCCTACGGTAGCATATGGCACACAAGACTTAGAACTGTGGCACAGTGACAGCCCCTGTTGGCTTCTTTGTTAGTGTGTGTGTGTGTGTGTGTGTGTGTGTGTGTGTGTGCGTGTGTGTGTGTGTGTGTAGGCCTGGGGATACTAGAGAGCAGTAGTGCAGAACAACCACATAAATAACCACTACAGGATGTGTTAGATGGGAGGAGAGATGGAGGGTGTTTGGCTCCCTTTGAAACCTGCTTATAAATATATATTTATATATGTGTGTGTATGTGAAATACCTGCTGAAACATGCATCAAATGTTTCTCACGGAACACACACACACACACACACTATAACACCAGCGATACACTAGGGCATCACACACATGCAGTCATACATATATACACAGCCATGACGCTAAAGCCGGTGCATCAGTCAGACAGACACACTTACACTGGGGAGAGAGAAATTTACAGGCAGCTGCAATGGAGGGTCGCTATGGCAACTGCTTCACTTGGACTTGTTTCCGCCTCTCCTCTCTGCTCTCTCACTGAGTCTCTCACTCTCCCTACACGAGCCACTGTCACGTGGACAAAGTCTCATTGACTGTTGCCGTGGCAACATATTGCTCTCGTGCATCTCTTACCCCGTGATGCCCTTCGCCACATCTCTACCTGAATCTCATTTCATTAGTGGCAAATGACCGTGTACACACTTCCTAACACTCACACACACACACACACACACACACACACACACACATCTCTGCGTCCCGAAGACTGACAGGCGCTGGCATTGTGGCAGACAGAATGCAGATGCGCTGACGTACCCGCCCACACCCACATAAGACACAAACACACACACACACACACACACACACACACACCAAGCAGGCTGTCACAGCTGACCTGTAGACTCTGTGTCCATGGATCAGTTACAGGGCGAATCGTTCGGGCACAGTGACAGACAGGACTGAGGCCCTCAGGGGCTACAAGCTCTCTCTCTCTCTCTCTTCCTGTCCTGTCTAAATGTCCCTCTATCTCTCTGCCTCTGGCTTTTTTGTGTTTTCTATCACAACTAAACTTTAGCGTGCAATGCCCACAGATGGGCCAGTGTTTAGCCACACCCGATCGCCATGTGGGATAAACTCCTTCCAAAAAAAAAAAAAAAAAAAACCATCCCACCTATGGTTCTGTCATTTATCTCCTAAAAACATGCTAATTTTATGCAGCAAGATGCTTCAAAATCTAATCAGATCATCAGCTCTGCTGGGAGAACCTGTGGCGTATGTATAATATTTGTATCATTTGTTTTTCATGAGTTATTTTGTTCACAAACAAACAAAACAGGTGCTGCATGACCTGACACCCTGTATACCATGCACTGTACCATGGAGGCCGTTTGGGAAATGGGACATTGTCCAAATATACACACAAAGCCTCAACAAATCCTAGACATCCTACGCTCAATTGTCAGCAGATGGGAAACACAGACACACAGACATGAGCTGATGCTGTTCAGAGAGGGGCTTATATTACTGTTTACATTTACATGTCCAATTAAAGGGTAGAAGACGATATAAAACTATCTAATTCGGCTGTATTAAGTTGCTGCCAGACCAATCCAATATTATAATGTCGACCTAAGTAAAGGATCAGAAAACTTCTTCCTCCACTCTGAACAAACACAGATGTGAATTACTGCTGATAAGAAAACATGTTGACAGCCGGGCTCTGTTCCTTTCACAATCAAAACAGCACCTCAACATCAACACAAAACACTTCAGACAAAATAGAAATAATAATTAACTAAAAACAAAAACAGGTGAGGAAAATCAAATACCTGAACAATGCCTCCTGAAAAAAAAATGGCTCTATTCAGCAAACACAAACAACAGCAACAAAGACAAAGCAAGATGGCAGAGAGCAGCTGAGGCCTGGTACCCCGAGGAGCTTAGCATGGCTGCTGATCCTTTCAAGCAGAACGGAGACAATGAGATGATTAGGCCTAAACTTGTGTTGAGTGTTCCAGTTTAGCACACCGCCCACTGCTGCCCTCGGAGACGCCACCCTCTGGTCTCCTGATGAGGCGTGGGTCTTCATCTCCACTGCGTTATCAGCCGGCTGATTAGTCATGGGGATGGAGCGCGGTCTGCTGCGCCGCACGCGTCACCGTCAGGTGTTGACTTCATGGGAAGTGATGTTTGCTGTCGGTAAACACTGACACATCCAGCAGAAAGTGGGAGGAAGAGGAAAGATTGATATGTGCTTAAGTGGTGCAGCTGATCTTGAGGGTATAACTACAACTCAAGATTGTCTACATTAATATTTTTCTTGTTTATATATTAGATAACAGCTGAGGGTAAACCAAGGATTAACCTCAACCACATCCTGTCCAACTCCACTTTCATGGGCTCTACAACAGCCGGGGGACGCACAGGGGCTGAGTTTGGAGGACACGACATTTAAAAAGCATATATTACTACAGAGAGCGCAGGAGCCTGCTGAGATATCATCTTCCTATACGTTAAACTGAGCGTGGAGAGATGGGAGCGGAGGGCCTCCTCCTTACAGAGAGCAATAATTAAAAAGATACTGGATCGCGTTGGGGTGAAATGACAATTCGAGGGGGAATAACAGCATATAGAGTTTTATACCTTCTACAAATGATAATTTCTACCTTACAGGCTCAACTTCAGTGTACTTTTCCACCATCTCCATCGCAAGTTTCATTAGTATGTACAGGCCAGTGAGTGTGTGTGTGTGGACGAGAGCACGTGGGTGTGAGGTAGAGATAAATATTGACCTTTTGCGCCGAGGTTCCAAGCGGTAATAATAAGGAAATTGCTCACAGCAAATGATGAACTGTCATCTGTGTGCAAATACAGAGAGGCTCTTTGAACTAGTGGTCTAATTAACAGAAAGGTTACAGAGTGGTGAAAATATTGTAACAGTGTAATGGAGGCAATACATTTGTGCACATTTCTGTATTTCTGTGACCCGTAATTTTAGTCATGACGGACTAAAATTATTACAAAAAGCTTATCTTCGAGGTGCAAGTGAAGCTGTTTAAGACCTACGTGAATACACATATCCAATTTATGTGAATAAATCTATTCCGGAATGAGGCCGTACACTAAATATGCAACACACCCTCCACATTAAGAAAACATTGATTGAAAAATTGATGGAAACATATTTTTTTTGCTAGGGACCTAAACCAAGCCACAACTGTCCAAGGAAATGTCTAAATATTCAGGAGAAAACTTTTTTTTTTTTTTTACATGTTTGATGCACCACGACTGCAGAACTGCAGATCTGATTCCACTGAAGAGTGTAAAAACATTTTTTTTTTTTTTTTTACTTTAGACTTACATCATCTGTCAAATATTATTGATGGAGCTCCACAAATGCCATTGAGGGTGTTCAGTGAGTGATTTTAATCAAAAATAAAGCCAGGAGTCACCAAGGATCTCATACTGCAAACAGGGACTTGCATATTTGCACAAACCTTGAGTTGAAGTCGAATGCACCTGAAATGAACTGCATTCAGAGAAAACCCAGAAAACCTTACAAACTGTACTCCCATCTAACTGTGTGGCAGTCGTTTGCACATGAGATGAATGTGTCTATGAGTGTGTGTGTGTGTGTGTGTGTGTGTGTGTGTGTGTGTGTGTATGTCGGTCAGTAGGAGGTCAGTGGCAGGCTGATGTGATCGAGGGGCTGGAGGTTGAGACAGACGTGCAGTGATGAATGGGATGTAATGAGATGCACAGCAGCAGAGCTGGCCTATAGGCCAGTGAGCCCGGCTAAGGCTTAATCGTTAGAGCGCAATGGATCAAGGCAAAGGCCATACTGATTGCATCTGGGACATGTGTGTGTGTCCATGCACTAGTATTACAAAACTTGTGAGGACCAGTCGGACTCTGGACTCACTTTGGCATAGGCGTTTTTTTTTTTTTTTGAATAATTTTACATTAATGACAAACATCAAATTACAGTATGTGTGCTTTTATGAGTGTTGTTAATGAGCATGGTTTTACTCATTAACAACACTCGTGAACACACTCACTGATGAATGTGTTTCCTGTTGTTACTTCCATGCAGCCAGGTTCGATCTAAGATCAATACAGAATGAAAATTAACTAGCAGCAGTGTGAAAGTTGCTTTCGAATGATCATCCATCACAGCTGACATCATGTCACTTCTAGCTATTCATCCTATTTATTCATTTTTTTGTATTATTGTAGCATATATTATATAAATATTATAATATAAATGCAGTTTAAAATCTCTCTTCTGATATGCGTTCAGTTGCTCACAGAAAACTCTGACAGTCACGACCTGATAGTTAGCTGCGAGATTTACAGCTGCATTTTAAAAAACACACTTGCAGAAAATCAAACCCAGCATACTAACAAGAACCTTTCTTATATGATATCATGGATTTCTCTGCTTTGACACACGTTACCTGAAGCTAACCTGATGTACACCTAAATGCATTTGTTTTCAGTTTTGTGCAAGGACATATGGTGTGTGCTCGCCTCTGGGGTTTATTGGATACTCATATTAAGCGGAACAGATACATGCACTGACATGAAATACTCTGCCCAGAGTGCATGCTTTAGCAAGTTTTTTAGCAAGTTTAACATCAACTTAAATTTGGTTTTCTTGCACTGACAGTTGCATATGTGGGTGTCCAAGAGGCTACTGCAAAGCAATGACAAGGCCTTTGTGTGTTTGGTACATCCAAGAGCCTGAAAACTTAATTTGCTCTGCTTTGAAGAAGCAAAGAAGTGATTCAAAGTCTAAGTTTAAGATCTCTGATTAAAAGAAATCAATAAAAATCATAGAAAAAGCTAAAAACTCCACCTCTCTCCTGTTGTTGGAAACCTCAGTTCGCTCTGTCTGCCTGTGCTTATAACACTGGTGCTTTGGGACCAGCATGGAGTCTGGATGATCCTGGCATTGTTTGTACTCTGTCTATACCAACTTCACCTCTTGCAATGGGGAACAAACACCCACCTTACAGCTCAATATGCTTCTACAGACCAAAACAACAAACCCGTTAGCCCAAAAATAAGCAAACAGCTTCTGCTGAGAGGTATCAGATGTGTCCGCAGTATCCATCTAGTGCTGTATAACAATTACCAAGTTTAATAAGTAGATAAGTATTGTTCAAACTAATTTTTGGTGATGTTAAATGTCATTGAAACATGATCCCAAAAAATGCTTTTCGTTCAATGAAGCAAGCTAGTTAATGTTGTGGTGGTTACAATGTGCTGAGCATCTGCACCTTTTACCACAAACTGTATATAACGATGATCCGTGATGTCAGTTATAGGTTTCTGAAGGGCCGTTTTGAAGTGGCACTCTTGGCAGTGCCTGACTCCGCCTACCTCCCAGCTAATCCCAAAATGGGTAAAGAGGTGGGGCGTGAATCCAAGACTTTTGCCCCATGCCGGTTTGTGCGCTCACCCACCTGTCACTCAAACCGGCCACGCCCTCATCTGTGCATAACTTTAAGCCTGAATAAAATTTAAGTTCATGAACGAGTTGGACATTTTAACATGGGAATCTATGTGGATTGACTCACTTCTGGAGGCAGCATCAAGTGGTCATTTGAGGAACTGCACTTTTCCCGTAGCTCCCTTTGTATTTGGAGCTCAACATCTCCTGCGACTACTTCCCCTTCCCCAAAGCAGACAGCAGTGCTTCTCCTCTCCCTCAGCAGATTAAGTGTGGGCAAGGAAAAAAAAGAGTAAAGGAGAGAAAAGAGACGACCACTGGGAATAAGAATAGCCGTCCTGGCCTCTCTTTCAACAACATGCTCTTATTAGACTCAATAACATCTCCAAAAAACACAAGTACTCCTCTCTAATTTTCTCTGCCTGTCCATCTATCCCTCTTTCTTCTGCCTCTCACTCTTGTCACCAGCAAGTGCTCTCCCCTCTTCCTCTCCGGCTTCCTGTTGCTCTCAATCTATTTCACATTCTTTATCTTTCGCTCTCGTTCTCCAGCAGCCACCACCACCCTGGCCCCTCTCATCTTCTCCCTCTTGTTTGTTTTCTGATCTCCATTTTCTCTGTGATTCCCCATCTCTTTTCATCTCTTGCTCTTTCTCCCTCTGTCTTAATCTACCACTGGCTAGCCTCTCGCTGTGAGAGTCTATTTGTAACCCCTCTCATACCTCGGATACAAGCCCAGCATATTCAAGCTTCTTGTTTTTATTCCAATTGCACTGAGTAGTCTCCCTTTCTGTTTCTCTCTCTTTCCATATCTATTTGTCCTCCTTTATCTTTTTCTCATCTCTCTGTCATAGGCTTTTGTAGCACTTCTATTGTTAAATTATATCTCTCAGCCCCTCCTCTCTCCCATCCGTGTTATAAATAGTGGTTGGATTAGGCTGACTTTTCGTTTTGCTCACTATTAGGGAGCAGATCAATTCCACAAATTGAGTGGATGGGGAAGCAAATACACACACACACACACACACACACACACACACACACACACACACACACACACACACACACACACACACACACACACACATCCAGGCACATAGCCCTTCTGTCCTCCAAAATGCCACAGTGACAAAGACGACACAAACACAGGCATTGTCCGTGTTTTCCCACTGCTGGCTCTCTCTCTTTCCCCCTCATAACAGTCTTCTTCTTTCCATTTTCCACATCCCTTTCTTTCAGCCTTAAGCCTGTTGGACTTCGGCTGACCCCTCTCCTCCTCTTCCTCACTTTCTTTTCCCTTTTTCTCTAATGCCACATTCCTTACGCTTGACCAACAACAAAATACCCTAATTTTTAGAGTGTCTCTGTGTCCATGTTCATTTTATCTGAAGTACCACGTAAAACACAAAAACACACTCAACCACACGATTGCTCCTGTAAACAACAATATAATAATCAAAAATGACTATTCATAAAGAACCTAATGTCCACTTAACACCAGAATTTTAAAATTTTTATTAAAACTAATGCATTTGCTGCCATTATGCACCTGTTTTGTGTCATAAATGACACTTACTTCTAGATGCTCAAAGACAGTCTAAGCTGTTAATTGTTTAAAGACTACCCACAGCCTTTTAGCTTAAAGACATCCTACATACATATCGCTTAAAGTTTCCTCGGCCGCCGAACGTGGTTTCTTGTCGGGAGCATGTGGTGGTGATTGTCGCTTAACAAGAGCTTCGGCCATTGTTGTATATATAATACAAGAGGTTATGATACGCCCTCTGAGCAGCGCTACGTCTTCAGGGCACATTTGAGCACGTGCCAGAGTTTTTTAACTCTTGTTCAGTAGAAGGACAGACGTGATAGAGACGAGACTTAACATAGGCGTTGCTTTCCACAAGCTCCCACAAGCTCCCACAGCTCTTGGAGAGTAAAGGAATGAAGTCTGATGCTGAACTCGCAACGTTTCTTCTACAGTGGGAAGTAAACATCTGTTAATGCTAATGTTAGCTATGCAGCAATAGCAAAACATACAAATAGCTCCGTTAAAAACTATCCTGGCTCATTATCTCTTGCAGACAACTGCAACTCCTAATTACTTAAATCTGTCCACACTGCTTACTTATTACTTACCCGTAAGCCTTATTGTTTAAAAAAACTATTCTACCTCTTGCATATCAAGCCTTTTAGTTGTGCATGTGTTAACTATGTCCCTCTTTCCTCATAAGAAAATAAACAATCTGCTAAAGTAAAGACATTTTTCTTACATACACAAGAACTTTATTCAGTCAGGGCTTGTTGGTTAATGGTAAGAAGTGTGAAGATGAGGGCTTGGAGTTCAGATGTAAATTTTTCTCCATATATTTTTGTGCACAATAGGTGGGAACACTCATAAACTGGCTCGAGGTTGAATTACTTTTACCACCAATAGAGAGTAGCAATATGGATTTTTGTATAGTGTATATGCTGCAGGTTATTTTTTTTTAAAGTGCACTGGAATGAATGTGAATGGAAGGCTCTCAAGCAATCATGCATGTACATAAATGCACACGCATTTCTTCCCATTTGCACATTCGTGTATGTCTATGAATAAAATGTGATCAACCATGCTCCAACTCTCATCCTCGTCTCCCTCCTCGTCTGTCCTCTCGCAACCTCTCATTATCCCCAATTCACCTCCATCTCTCTCAGCCTCTCTACCATCGCTACTTCCCTCCCTCCTTTAACGATCTGGCCATTACCGGGGCTGCCGTTCCAGCCCTGGTTTCACGGGGTGTCTGGGGTCTAATTGGGACTGAATGAGTGTGAGTGTGTGTTGTTGTGCGGCCTCATTGACACAGGCTGGGATCCAGGGGCTAGCTCGTCCACCCCCCCACCTCCCACCCCCCACCCCCCCTATGGAGATGTACTCCGAGCGAGTCTTCACACACAATCACACACTCAGAATGCATGTTTGCAAGAAAACGGAGCCGTGTTTAATTCCTTCACCTCTACGTTTGACTAAACTTAAACTCTCGACTTGTTTTGATTTAGTAAACTATGTAAATATACGTTTTAGATGAGAACTGTACACGGTTGGCCCTTCACTGCTGCAGCAATATATTAAATTGAGAATGACTGCAAACTTAAAAACCCCCAGCATGAAAAAAAAAACAAACTCTATCTTCTATTCAAGCCACACAAGAACAGAAGTCTGTGCCAGCAGACGTTCGACAACTCAAAATGTCCCTTTCATTTGCTGAGGAATTATATCAGTATATCCACTACATCACCTCTGAGCACTGAATCGGTCATTGTGAGACGTGACTGTTGTTTGTCTCTGTTTCAGTTTGTTACCTTGAAGATTTCAGGAGAGCGCACATTTCAAGCTTCCAAACTGCATGTGAGAATTCACCTTAGGCAAGTTCTCTGTCGATAACACATCTTTTCTAATGAATGAGCTGGACTGTGCTGAGAGCAACAGAGTGGTTTTAATGTAGGTTTTCTTCTAGTCTTCTATTTTAGATCTATTAATTCTACTGTTACTCTTGCATTGGACGGCATGTTTCTAGCTTCTCCATCTTTTTTATTGTGTCAGTTTCAAGGACGCGTCATGAGAAAAAGACATCATTTTCTGTCACTTTGTAGTCTTTGTGCAACTCTCTGTACATGTTTTGTGTCTCTTTGTAGCTGTTTTGCATCTATTTTGGTTGTTATGCGTCTCTTTGTGGTTGTTTTGCGTCTCTATAAGTCATTTTTTGTCTCATTCTGGTTCTTTTGCTTCTCCTTTTGTTGTTTTTGTGTCTCTTTGTGGTCATTTTGAATCTTTTTATCGTTTTACTTTCCAGCAAGAAAATAGCCACTTCAAACAGAGGCTCTGGCACAGGGGTCCCCTGACCTCTCTGACCCCTGGGCCTGTGCTAGATAGACCTGTTCAGTTATCTATCTACGATCAGTTCTGTGCAATGTACTGTAAACGCAGTGTGTCTAAAAGCAGTTACACAGTGAAGTCTAGTTTGGGAGACTGCAGATTGCAAATGTACACTTCCCCTGATGAAGAGATAAATACAAATAAACAGGATATTCCGTTTTCTGCTTATTTCTACGGTTGTAATTTCATTTGTCTTTGAACTGCTCATGTTAAGGTACCGCTCACAGATCTGATCTCGATAACATTAGAACATGCACAAGCCACATAAACAAAGACGCTCGTTGTGTGTTTTGGCATATTACCTGGTGGAAGTAATATATTCTTTTTCGATTTGTGAGCGCATGAGTTCCAGCAGGACGAGCACAGAAACAATAAATTGGGTGTAGAGAGCCTCGGCTGTCGTCTCCATTCAGACACCAGCGTTCCCATTAAGTAATGCTGTCAGCTCTGCCACTACCCACTGCTCTCCATCTCATACATAACAATACCTCCTTAATTGGAATGCTACTCCGACAGTTACAATACAATCCAGGTGAAAACGCACAAACACAGCGAGTACAAAGTGAGAAAGAGGCAACACAGGCTGGGAATAAAAAAAAATTAATTAATTAAAAAAAGCAGCGGCTGGTCAGAGAGAGGGGAAGTTTTGTAACTTAACAAAGCGACTGAGCTCAACATACAACAGCAGAACTCCATGTGTGCGTGCAATGAGAGAATTGATTCATCTGTCATGCTGCTGTGTGAGAGTGTGTGAGTCCTCAGCAGGTATGCAGTTTGAGCTGTGATCTCCGGGATCCACCATACAGCGGCACCGGCAGGAGCCTGGCTACGATTCACCACGGGGGTGTGCGTATTGATGTGAGAGTGTGTTCAGTCGTTGGTTTTTAATCAGACATTTCTACATGCACGGGGATCTTCCTGTTTGTGGCCCATGTTACCCCAGGGGAGAGGTATGTCTTATCAGCAGCCACTTATCTCATCTTGTCTGTCCTGAACGTTATCCTGACAGCGGAGAAGCAAATTCTACTTTTTCTCCAGAGTTGTCAGAACCCTTTGCTCTGATTGGTTTTCCAATTTAGCTTGACCACACCCATATTCCCTCTGTATCTATGGAACTAAACCAAAATGAATACTAGTGAAAGTCATTAATTTAATGTTTTAAATCATCTTGGAATATGACGATATGATATGATCATATGATTTTTTCCACCTGTAGCCCCACTTGAAAACAACTGTGTTAAATCTATGATGATCCAGAGTCCAAAATGTAGTTTTTCTTTCCACAAATTGGAAATATAGCATGTTTTGTGTCTCTTTGCAGCTGTTTTGCATCTATTGTGGTTATTTTGTGTCTCTCGGTAGTCATTTTTTGTCTCGTTGTAGTTGTTTTGCTTCGCTTTTTGTTGTTTTTCGTGTGTCTCTTTGTAGTTTTACTTTCCTACAAGAAATAGTCACTTCAAACAGAGGCTCTGGCACTGACCCCTCGGACCCCCTGGCCCTGTGCTCGATAGAGCTTCTCAGTTATCTATCTACGGTCACTTTTTTGTCATGTTCACGTACCTGCTAAGAATATTTTCACTGACAAAATTATTAACATACATTATAAAAATAGGTCAGTGTGCTTGACTCAGCTGATGTTTGAAATTGGGCTTATTAATCATTTACTCATCAATTGATGTTGGTTTAATTAACATTCAATCTTATTTCAGATATTTCTGGTGTTTGTGTGTGTGTGTGTGTGTGTGTGTGTGTGTGTGTGTTCTTTTGAATATAAAACTAAGATCCTGATCTTTGCCTTCACCAAGTGCAGTGAGAGAACACAAAAACAGGCTTCAGTTGCTCTGAGCTAATATTGTATTTTAAGGGAGGATATTGTAGGAAAACAAACATGATGTCTGTTGTTGAATATTGGACTGATTCAGTCAGTATGACAGTTTCTCATTGAAAATGTTTCCTCCAGCTGCATTATATTTCTCTCTAAACATATTTGCTGTTGCAAATTAGTAGCATATAAACTTAATTTCCAGAAGACAGATTTTCAAATATCTGTTCAATGTTAATGTTTAATGTTTCTGTCTTTGTTCGGTTTGAAACAACACATTAGAACAGACAGAATTAGAGCACTGGAGTCTTTTTCTTTCAGAATAAAACCTTCAAATAAATGCCAGATATTGCTTGTGCTTGAGTTCTCAGATGGCAGCATGGGGGGAAAGAGTGATTATTAAGACACGACTAAAGATGGTTGGCCATGGTTGAGTCTGGCTCTAAAGTCTCCTCCATCAACCACCCCTCCCTCCGTCCATCTGTCATATTAGAACAAATGTCCTAGACAATGTTTACAATACAGCATTTCCAATACAAGGTTATGGGAAAAGGGATGTTGACATAAATAGCAGAGAAGCTGTAGCCACTGAGGAGGTCAGATGTCATGGATCATCATCCGTCCGCTATCGGTTGTGCGGCGTCTTTTCCTTCTGCAGGTAGAACTACACGGCGCTCGCATCATTTTTGGTTCCGCTCCCATTTCACAATGTGCACACTTCAGTGAGAGTTACAGATTTAAATGCTCCCTTGCTTCTCTCTTATGCTCGACTGTACATTTCAGCCGCTAAACCGCGTGGCACCCGACCGTTAATCTAGAGTATAATACCGCAACGCTCCTCTAATACTACTGATCTCACTAGTGCTTGCTGGGAGGTCTTCTCTGCAATGCATTTTGACAATCCCAAACTTCATTTGTTTCAGTGAGCACTTTAAAGTTTATTGATTTGGATTAAATAGACCCACAATAGCTCTTGGCTAGCTCAAAGCCAGCATTGGGGTATTCACTGAGGTCCTCACTGAGGAGAGAAAGAGGAGCTGAGCCAGCCTTCAGTGTTGCTTCCCTCAGTCCCTTATAGCCATTACACATGGCAATAAACCCAGCCAAGTGCAAAACAAAAAAAAAAAAAACTGTGTTGAGCTTTTTCCCAAGCTCTAAGCTAGCTGACAGGCGACACAGCGCCAACTACCTCTCTCTTTTTCCCCCCATTTCTTTCTTTCTTTCTTTCTCAGTGGCTGTCCCGCTCCATCTCTCCTGTACCTTCAAATCCTTTTCATCCCCGTCCCTTCTTCAGCCTCCCTCCTTTCCCCTCCTCTTCACTTTCTTTGTCTTGTCAAAGTGTTTCAAGCTCAATAAAATATTATCTGTCAGCGTGCGACGGAGTAGGTGTATTCGA